GTAGATCGTTCTGTCCAAGTAACAAGGCCACATGTTGCTTCCTTGACTTGCGTCCTATCACACAAAGCGAGCATAACTGCCGTACGTTGAATATCAATAATATTCATATCCACAATCGCGGCGCTCCGATCGCTTTGTGAAACGGGGCACTGTTACAAGTTTACATCTTTACAACACGACGATCTACGTCATCTAACACAAAACACACAACCTGTGGCTTTATGGCGATTTAATTTTATTTTATCACAGACGTTGCTATAACAAACAATGTGGACGGCAGTTAAGAGATAGATTCATACAAACAAAATTACAAACAAGAAATTTCCTGTACAAAGTAATAACACCTATCACATAAAACACACGACACAATGTTGATTGAATTTTAAGCCTGAAGTCAACATTCAAAATTACATCTAATATATTATAGGATAAATATCTATAACATTTTCTTTGTTTGTTGTTCAACGCCTATGTGACTGCGGGTATATTTAGAACCCACGAGAGGAACATAATTAAAAAAAATCGTTGAAGGTCAATCAAAACGGGCGCTAATCTTTAAAAGGAAACAACATTAAATGACACCGTGCACCCAATCAAATGCATATGTTCAAGTGTTGTAAATTAACAATGGCGTCAGCGCTTTGAGCTGAGAGGGATACATCATGAACGGAATCAATACTCTGTTAGTTATCAGTATTCCGTATTACAATGGTGTAGAAAATGAAATGATATATCACAAATCTTCAAAGGAAGACATTACCACGGTGTCACATTCCTCACAATACGAGCTGAGGTTCAGTCAGTCAAACAAACATACTATTAACTTAAAAGGGAATGTGTACACTGGGGTGAGCATTATAGTGGAGTAGAGTAGATGAGTCAATATCACAGTCAAGATAACAGTATATAATACTTGAAAGAATATTTCTATCAATATATATTATTTCAATGGTGTCCTTTCATCTTCTGCAACTAATATTAGTGTCTCGGAGTTAAAAGAATCTTACGGGCATCTTGCTGCCAAGACCTAAGACAACTGTGTGATGATGGCCAAGAACGCACTTCGTCAAGGTGGTCAAATAATTTCCGATTTAATTCACCATAATGTTTTTTAATCATCCTGGCATAAGTTGTTACTGGGTTTTATTGTAGATAGTGGAGTTTACAATACAGTGACAGGAAATAGTAAACTTTGTCACCTCATTCCGTCCAACGCAATTAACATCATGTCTGCATCAAGGAGATCTCACATGGTGGTTAAGGCAGAACCTTTTTCAACACTGTGGCGAACAACGGCACCCCAAGACTCATCTCTCTAGCTACGGATACATTGTGTTGACGATACTTCGAGGTTCTATTGCTTTTACTCCGTTATATAATATTTTTTCATGAATCATTTCAAGCAAGAGCGCCGTCGTCTGAAGTAAATATCTACAATATGGAAACTGGCAACATATGATTCCAGAATGAGGTTCATCATCGTTGAAACATAGAACAGTATCAGTATTTCTGTGTACGAGAGCATGAATGTGATCGCACCAAACTGATGTGACATACAGAAAATCACCTCTAACCAATGAAAGACCGAGTTTGTGAGTGAGATAGAGGAGTGGGGCTTCCCCTAGACGTTGCTGTCCCTGTTTACTACAACTTTGCCCTCCGGCGTCGTCATCCAACGTCTCTCATTGGTGCGAGTGTTGTACTCGTACACCTTGTCTGTCACTGAGGAGACAAAAGGAGCTGGTTAGTTAACCATGATAGCTATGGCCCTCTAAAAACGCGGTATTGGTAACAAATTGGAAGTTACGACGAAATATGTGTTCCATATAAAATCTGCATGATCCAAACGAGGTACTTGGCAGCGTTCATTCAGGAAGAAAAGAATAATACATACACATTGTAGTTTGTACGTTTTCTTTACACCTGGGTACTGAATACAACATGTATAAGCATCATTTTAAATACGAAACTAAAACAAACCATACATGAAAAGTAAACCTAATAAACGCCCAACTGACGTAACGTTATCAATTTGTAACGTCATAAACGATGAATGACGTTATCGAAAATGCAAAAATGTTTCGCGAGGGTAAGGAATTACACTTCATCCTTGAATAGTATCACTCAAGGCCAAATTGCGATGGTTTGTACATGGCAGGCGTGCATTTTCTTTAATAGGAGAATGAACACAATTTGTGAAGAAGGCTTTTGGTATTCAACTGTACATATCACGGTTGAACAACAATTAATACTTGTAAATAGATATATTCCCCGTGGGGATTCCGTGTTAGAGTAGGTCCCCAGCAACATATGCCGGAGGCAAAATGCGACTTAATGGATCGGGTGGTCAGACTCAGTGATTTGTTTGATGGCTGTTATCGTATCCTGGCTGCGTGGATCGATGCTAATAATATGAATCACTGGATTGTCTGGTCCAGACTCGACTATTTACAACCCGCTGTCATATAGCTGGAATATTGTTGAGTGCAACAAACATGCATAGACACATACACAGACTCATATCCACCTACCCGGGTCCACAGCTGTTCCATCAAAGTGCCTGTTGCGGATGGGGTACCCATCAATCTCATTTGATGTGATGATAATGGAGCGAGGTGTACGAGGGGGCGTTGCGCTCCTACGCCCCTTCTTCCTATCAGGGGCTCCCCAGAAGTCATCAGACACAAAGCTCTGTACTCGTGGCTAAAACATGAATGAAACACTGAATCCTAAATTTCTCGATTTTGAGTTATATTAAAAACATAAGGAAGATATTTTATGGATGTCAACTTATTTATTATAAGGAAACACAACGTTACGGAGTATATGCTTACTCCGTCATCAGGTGAATAAATGCTATGTGTCTTATGTACATGTAAGGGCAATAGAAGTACTACGATAACAAAAGGTGAAAAAACTAACAAGGGAGGCCAAAAGATAATTGCCGCTGAAAGGTAAAAACATAACTGATAATTTCCAACATTCGAACATTAGCTCAGTTGAAATATTATTCAGTATTAATTGTAAGTAAACTACCCAGGGCCAAGATCTTCGCGCTACAATTATCGTAAGCCTATGCTAACCTGTGGGAGTTACGATTGCCTCAACGCTAAGATCGTTAAGAGGACCAGAGGCGCAGCACTGGGTACTTTAGTAATGTAGCACTGTAGTGTTACGTAGCGTGTGTAGCTTGATATGCCCTGGTATAACCAGGCAGGTTATCCATGAAAACACTCTACCTTTAGTGGTATTGGAATCGTCAACACAGCTGGAGGAGGATGTTTCTTGGGATCTTTAAGGTCAAGGTCAGGAACAACGGCTGAAACAGTCGGCCATGTATGTTTAACATAACACGCTTAAACTAAGCACACATGCATGCAACTGCAATACTGGAATTTTATAAAATAAAAAAATGTTCATAGTAATGTTGTAAAGTAAAGCCTCCGTCGTGACATACCTGCACTATGGCTTATAACTATCCCTCTTTCACGTACATGTTTAAGGACCAACGCAATTCCCAACATTGTCTACAATGCATGCATCAAATACTCACACTGATGTGTTCATGGTAAAATAATGATTGAAATGCAAAAACCGACTTCTCAATTTCAACTAGTACACCATGTCCTTCGTATACACCGGACAGTGACCTTGGCGTAACAGTAATTTCTTTTATTCTTTCATTGTTGTGTTTAAAGTTACAGATGTGTAAGTTGAATGTCAACTGTGATAATATCCTACAGAGACAAGTAATGCGAAAATATAAATTACTCGCTTACCTTTGCTAACGAGAGTAGTTCTTACTCCAGGTCGTTTCTCGACAATTAAGCTGCGAGTTGGTGTGATAGGTCTATGAAAAGAAACACACATGAAACTATCAGTAATATATATTTAAGATTTGACTTTCTCTTTGTGTGAGTTCCTTAGAGTATTTTTTTATCACAAGCTTTTGCCTCAAAGGATGTAGGTCTAGGTCAATACACAATTGTATTAAGTACACGTGACTTCATGTTTACTCTGACAGCCATGCATCAACCAGCTGTGTCGCAGAATAAAGTAGTTCCTCAAAAATAGAGGTGACATGAGCGTATGTATGCACAACTTGCTCTTCAGAAAAATCTGACACAACACATGTATTGAAATAACATCACCATCAACTACCTCAGTAAGTCAGTCACAATGACAGAGCATCGTTATACATTTACAGCAAGTACGACCCATGAAGATCCGCGTGACAATAGGTCTTCAGCAACCAATGATTGCAGTAAAAGGCGATTATGCTTGTCGGAAGAGGCGACTAACGGGATCGGGTGGTCAGGCTTGCTGACTTGGTTGATACATATCATCGTATCCCAAATTTGTGGATCGATGCTCATGACGTAAATCGCTGGACCGCCGTCATATAGCTGGAATATTGCTGAGTGTGGCTTTTAACAACAAACAAACAAGACGTCAAAATGGCCGACACGATAGACGTGACGGGAGATATTTCGGAAGTTGTTAATGAACCTTCGGTGGTTACATGTCAGTCGTCATTGATCAATTTGCCGATCTATGAAAAGTGATCAAAGATGTGTCAAACTGACACTTAGGTAAATTCATAGATTGCTGTCACTGTCGAGTCGATACTACAGTAGTTTGGATGTGCATTTCTAGGATTGGTCGTAGTGAGGATATTCGTGAACGATCATGCAGTCAAACTCTCTGACGTTTCTTAAGCTAAGTTCAAGATCAAAGGGTCTTCAATGATCAGAAACAAATTTCTTCTATATGTATTTGTGCAAGGAAATGTGGAAATAATCCGTCAGTGTTTACGTCATTTCAAGAACACGGTCTTGTGCAAAACATCTGAACACGTGAACGTCAATGTCGCAATCGTGTGACCGAACTCTCGTCCAATGGAAAATCCGTATATCGCGTAAAGTTCAAATTAAAATATTATTTCCATGTGACCTTCGTATGAGTATTTATAAGATTGATCTGGAAAAATACACTGAATTTCAATTTCGTGTTAAAATAAGCAACCTTCTCTTCTTCCTCCACCAGAGGAGAGCGAAGATAGTGATGGCGATGAGGACGACGGTCAGGAGGCAGGCGAGGGTGATGAAGACGATGCCGACTGTTGTCTGATACCAGGGGGTGACAGTCTCCGTGTAGGGGCTGGCGTTCTGGATCACAAAGTAGTCCCAAGCTGACCCTGTATCAGAAGTCAATAGAGTATTGAAGTTAGTTTGGCAAGCCTACGCACACATGTACTATATTTATGCAAATGCTTTGAACATTAGCTCACCTTGCAGTGCTGAGGATGGAGTCCCTGACGGGTCGGACGCTACGACACTGGTGACAGCACTGGAAGTCAGGAAAGTCTTGCCCTGGGACAGGTTGCTTGACGACTCAGTTGTGTTGTCCGCAACAACAACAAGGTTGACATTTACTGGACTGAAACATATAATTAGTTTATCAAGGTATAGCATGATCAATCAAATAACCATGGCTACTGTTGTCATAAAGGAATTAAAGACACCCTGGTCTTTCTACTGAATCAAATAATCATAACTTGAAATACCGAAGAGATATTGAGAAGATGAAATTGGCAAAATTGACTCTGGTAACCTTGAGGCCAGGAGTCGCCTTCTTGTTGGTGCTGCTACTGCCGTCTCCCCCGATCGCTCTGTGATGCACCAGACCCGTACAAGACAAGATGGGTATTTGGATGACATGACAGTCTTGAATTGGGACACAAACTGATCCTTTCTAAGGAGGAAATCGGCTTTGCTTATGCCAAGTTTGATGATGACGGCCACTGTGTTGGGGTCGAATGTGTCCACACGAATTGATGCTGCAGGGCTGGTGGTTCTCGAAGAAACACCACCGTCCTTCCCTGAGGCTTCCAGTACATACTTTGTGTTCACTGACACTGGGGTCTGTAGCGTCACAGCACCTTGAAATACATGTAATGAAATATGAATATCACCTGCACATACATGGGTAACATTGCTAGTTCTCTTCATTGGTTGCCCCGACCTAGTTAGTGTTGTGTAGCATTGTACATGTATGGAAAGTGTTGTGTAACATTGTACATGTATGGAAAGTGTAGTTTAACATTGTACCGGTATGGTTAGTGTAGTGTAACCAATGTAAGTGCAGTGGTGGACGGAAATTCATCTTACTTGAGACTAATACATAAGAGTTTCAAATACAATTATCTGAAACGAACATGCTTGGGTTCATATATAGACTATATAGTGTGGACCTTAATTAGTCATATCATCTTAATGAATGCCCAAATACTAGTATATGAGAATACCTGAACTGGAACCAACAGCAAAGAAAAATCCATAAGGATTCTGGGAAAAGTAGTAGGACACTTGACCATTTGGTCCGGAATCAGCATCAGTCGCCGTCAGGGTCAAAATAGTGTTGTCACAGGAGCCTGTGTAGGCGATCTCAGCGTTGTAGAAGGTTGTGCTGAAGACAGGGGTATTGTCATTTTCATCGATGACTGTGATGTAAACCATAGCTGAGGCTGTCAGTGGAACTGTCCCATTGTCAACAGCTAAAATGGTCACATTGAATTCCACATCAACCTCCCTGTCCATAACAGACTTGACACTGACAATACCTGAATTGGAATCAACTGCCAAGAATAGATCACCTCTGACCCCTTCAGGAGTTGAAGTGTCGATTGACAGAGTTATGGCACCATTGTGGGCATCTGCATCAGTGACTGTAACGGTTAATATGCTCGTTCCCGCAGCCGTATTTTCATTAACGGATCCAGTATACTGTGTGGGGTTGAAGACGGGTGGGTTGTCATTCAAGTCATCAATCACGATCGTCACATTGACGTCTCCAGTTAACTGTGGAGTGCCTCCATCTTTAGCACGACATCTCAAACTGTATGTGTCAATAGTTTCTCGGTCCAGATTCCCTGCTGTAGTGATCACTCCTGATGAAAGGTCAAGGTTGAAATGGGATGCTTCACCAGTCCAGAAGACAACAATCTCGTACGTCAAGGCTGCATTTGTTAGACTGTCTAGGTCTGTAGCTAGTATTGTGCCAACTGATGACCCCAACGGAACGTTTTCAGCTATGTTGAAGGTGTATGGTGATGTGTTGAAGATTGGATTGTTGTCATTCACATCATCTATTACTATCGTGGTGGTAACAGAAGCAGTCAGTGGAGGTGTACCCTTGTCAGTTACATGGATGACGTGGTTGTAGGACGCGGTTCTCTCCCTGTCCAGTGAATTCACCACTTGAACAATACCACTCCCAATTTCTATCTGAAAATTTCAAATTCAAATAGCAATAGATGATGTCACATTTTATGTCATGTTATGTCATTTTAGGGTCACAGTTTAATATATCAGAAATCGAGTTTTTAGATAGTATGCTGCCAACAGATACCAAGATGACAAACCTTGAAATCTCCATCAGTGTTTCCAGACACAATAGAGTACACAAGTTCAGCATTCACACCACTATCTATGTCAGAGGCTGCAATAGTGAACACAATGGTTCCAGGGCTGATGTCCTCACTCAGATTAGTGGAGTAGCTTCCTGTTATGTCCGGTGTGTTATCGTTGATATCTAGGAGGTTGAGTGTCACAAGTGCCGTTCCCGTATTGGCTGGTGATCCTTGGTCGATGGCAAAGATCGTTAAATTATGACTGAAACATAACAAGAACACATAGATGTATGTTGCCTTTCATTGTAACAATATGCTTTAGATTGTAATTGCTATCCAATCACAAATATCATAAATATATCAAATTAAATGTGGTAAACAGTAAGTGTATTTAAAGAAGAATGTACCTCGGAATGGTTTCTCTGTCTAACACAGCCTTTGTTGATATTTGCCCAGATCCTGGGTTGACATCGAAGTAGGGATCTGTGAGACTGTAGGTGAAGACGTTGTTATTGTTAGCAGAAGAGTCAGCATCTGTGGCATAGACAGTCGTGACGCTAGTTCCCACAGTAACGTCTTCTGACACACTCTGAGCGAAGAAGTCAGGCAGGAAGGTAGGAGCATTATCATTAAGATCAACTACTGTTACCTTGACGACTCCAACAGTAGACAGAGGTGGCGTTCCACCATCGATTGCTTGCAGAATTAGGAAGAAAACAGTATTTGTCTCATAATCAATATCTTTTGTTGTTGTAATAATACCACTAGAGGAGTCTATTGCAAAATATGCCAGTCCATCTCCAGATGTTATTGAGTATGTGACTTGTCCATTTGCCCCTGAGTCTTTGTCAATCGCTGTAACCGTTTCTACTGTCTGGCCAATGGCTACATTTTCATCCAAGAGAGGAGTATATATTGATTTAGCAAATACTGGATATTCATCATTTTCATCCTGAAGTACAATTTCAAGCCAGAATGACCCAGTCAAGCCACCTTTGTCTTGTGCTTCAACAGTAATATTGTGAGTGTTGGGAGGTGTGTCGTAATCTAGAACAGACGATGTATACAGTTCTCCTAACAGTGGACTGCAGAAGAATAGTGTTGGGATATTTCCATTTGTGATACTCCATGAGAATTCACCATCGGTCCCTGCATCACCGTCTACTGCGCTTGCATTGTAGAAGTTGGTTCCCACTGGAATGAGTTCGCTCACAGTAATGCTGTCATTAGGGACAGCAGGGATTGGAGGAAATTCATTTTCTGATAGTACGTTTATTATAATTCTGCCACTTGAAGACAGTAATGGGGTTCCACTATCAGAAACCTGTATGACAAGATCATACATTGTCAAAGTCTCAAAGTCTAAAGTTTTTCCTGTATCCAATAAAAGTTCGTTTGCAACAAATTTGAAGGCGCTTCCTGTATTTCCTGAAATGATGGAGTACACAGGTGTTGCGTTTGGGACATCATCATCATCTCGCGAAGTCACAATGACGAGTGTAGATCCACTTGGTGCTGTCTCAAGGACATCTTTGAGGTAGACTACTGGTACAAACACAGGAATGTTATCATTCACATCATCCACTGTTATACTGAGATCCACTTCAGAACTACGCTCATTACCTGAACCAGCATAGTCGTCAGTAGCGCGGATTTTCAAAGTGTATGAGGCCATGCTTTCTCTGTCTAAATTACCTACAGTCTTGATTTCACCGGTTCCTTCATCAATTGTATAATGGCCAAGGCTATTACCAGTTGTAATAGAATACCTCACTGTCCCATGAAGTAAACCATTATCAGTATCTGTAGCTGTTACTGTGTACACAAGCGTTCCTATGGAGACATCTTCCCGAATAGCCACAGGAGTAACCGCAGAAAATACAGGGGCAGCTTCATTTATAGGAGTTACATCTAAACTTACAGGAACAGTGATAACTCTTGCAGTACCCCCTTGGTCAGATACTTGAATTTCCAAGCTATAGGAAGTCTTTGTTTCATAATCGAGCAAAGCAAATATGGTGACCACCCCAGAAGCAGCATCGATGGTAAACTTGCCATCCCCATTGCCTGTTGTGATACTGTAAGCAAGGGTAGGGGTAGAAGAATCAGCATCAGAACATGTTAGACTGCTTACAGTTGTTCCAATACTGGAATCTTCTGGTAATGTGTTGATATAGTTGGAAGGAACACAGACCGGGTCATTGTCATTAACGTCGAGGACTAAAACTGTCAGTTGAGTCGTTGCTGTGCGACTTCCAGCTCCTGTTCCATCAGCTACTTCTATTGTCAAGGAATATGTGTCTGTAGTTTCTCTGTCAAGAGCTGCCTGAAGAACAACTGTCCCTGATGTTGGATCAATCCAAAACTTGTTATCTGTGTTTCCTAGAGTTATGCTGAATGATAGAACAGAATTAGACACATCATTATCGTTTGCATTTATGTCCTTAATAGTAGTTCCTAAAGGTGTGTCCTCACTGAATGACTCGGAGTAGGGTCCAGGTGGCGCAAAGACCGGGTCATGTTCATTGACATCCGATACTGTGACTGTTACAATGGCATCGGTAGTGAGGGTTCCATCTGAAGCTTGTACTGTAAGGCTGAACACACTCAGTGTTTCTGCATCAAGTCCTGCATTCACTGTCACCTCTCCTGATGTAGACCCAACAGCAAACACGCTCCCGGTGTTGCCTGCTGTGATTGTGTATACAACATTATTGTTAGGAGGATCATCAGCATCTGGACAGGACACAGTGCTAACGGACGTGGCTGGGGTAGCATCTTCTGGTACACTGCCTGTGTATACAGATGAGGTGCAAAGAGGAAAGTTGTCATTGACATCAGTTATTGTAATCGAAACAGTTGATGTTCCAGTAAGGCTTGTAGGGGTTCCTTTATCCTGAGCCTTGACTTCCAAAACATATGAAGATAAAGACTCCCTGTCAAGGGATGCCTGGACAGACACAACTCCTGTCACAGAGTCCACAGTGAAGTGGCCCAGTGAATTGCCAGAAGAAATTAAATAAACTACATCTCCTGAAAACAAAACAAAAAAACATGAGAGAGTAATGGATTGATAATTCTCAATTCAATATATCTGAAGCTGTCATCAAACGAAACAATATTTGAGATGGAACATAACATTTTGGTAAGATTCTGATTGCAGGTTTTATTTTATCTTGCTTGTTGCCATGTACCATTTGAACCCGCATCTGTATCTGTTGCTGCTACTGTCACAACAGCTGATCCAGGGGTAGCATCTTCAGCTATGCTGGGCGTGTAGGGGTTCTGGCCAAATGCTGGAGTGTTGTCATTCTCGTCTATAAAGAAAGAAAAGAAGTATTTACTTGTTCCTCACTTAATTGTACGATAAACGATCTACCCTCTATTTACAATGCAGTTTTTATGGTAAAACCACCTACCTGTGATACTGACAAAGACGTGGATGACTGTAGAGAGTGGTGTGGCTCCACCATCAGTAACCGTAACATTCAGAAGGTATGAAGCAGTTGTCTCTCTATCAAAGGATGCTGCTGCAGCAACAGAAACCAATCCTGTAGAAGCACCCAGGTCAAACAGGTTCCCTGGATCCCCTGCAATTTTGGCGTAACTGAGGGCATTGTTTGGTGCGTTTATATCCGAGTCTGAACACGCGATTTGCTGAACTGACGTTGTTGGTCCTGTTGATTCAGTTATGGCAGTGGAGTAGTATGCCTGAGTGCAAGATGGTGCTACATCATTCACATCAGTCACTGATACAGTTAGGATATAGGTACCACTCAGTGTTGATGGATTAGTGCCAGCATCCGTTGCCTGAATTGTAACAGTGTATGATAACACAGATTCGGCATCGAGGACGTCACTAACTCTCACAATGCCAGTTGATGAGTCAACCACAAACTTCCCAAGTGATCCCGATATGATGCTGTAGGTTACTTGTCCATCTAGTCCAGAATCAGTGTCTGTAGCATCAAGATCTATAACAACATGTCCCAGTACACTGTTCTCAGGAACAATTTCTGTGCTTGATGCCGGGGTGAATGTTGGAGAATTTTCATTGATAGGATTGACACCTATGGACACTATGACGTCACTAGTCAGGCCCCCGCCATCAGTAGCCCTCACTGTGAGAGTAAAGAGTTGGGTCGTCTCAAAGTCCAAGCCAGTATTGTCAGTAACTGTGATAACACCTGCTGCGATGCTAAAAACAGTGTCAGTGTTGCCACTCTCAATGGAATAGGTAATTGTTCCAAAGCCTAAATCGTCCGCATCTGTTGCAGTTACAGTCGTCACAGTCGTCCCTATAGCTGTGTTCTCATCTACGTTTGTTGTATATGATGATGGATTAAACACTGGCAGGTTATCATTGACATCTGTTATAGTGAGTGTCAAAGTCTCACATGTGGATTTGATTGCATCAACTGTGCCTGAATCAGTGGCACATACATCAACAGTCACAGTTGGATTGGTTTCTCTGTCTTGTTGAACCTTCAGAGTTATTACTCCTGTGGCAGCTCCTATGAGTAGATTGGTTGTGTCTGTCAGGGAATATGTAACCGTATTTGCAGTGTCAGCATCAGTTGCAGCCACAGTAAGTATAGTAAATCCTACCACTTCCGATTCTGCCATGGAAGGGTTGAACGGCGTTCCAAGGAATACTGGAGCAGCCTCATTGACGTCTGTCACTGACACAATCACTGTAGCTGATGTGCTTAGCGCAGGGACAGCACCATCTTCAACTCTTATTATGATGGAGTGCGAAGTTGCAGTTTCATAATCCAAGCCTGTTGTAGTGACAGCACCACTCGTATCAACAGAAAATGAACCACTTCCAGCAACAGCATTCACGGATTCAATTATGTAGGAAAGTGTTCCACTTGCACCTGTATCCAAATCGGTACATGACAAAGTAGCCACATTACCAGTATGGTCTTCTCTTTGAATAACAGTCGTGGAACTTGGGGAGCATGATGGCGTGTTATTGTTGTCGTCAACTACGTTGATTGTAACAGTAACGTCTGTACTTCTAGGTGGTGTTCCACTATCAGTTGCTGTCACAGTAAGAGAGTGTGTACTGGCAGTTGCATAGTTCAGATTATCTTTTAAGGTTAGAGCTCCATCGGATGCTAGGGCAAATGTGGCATGAGCTGTCATTGTGTACGTAAGATCGCCATCTGTGCCACTATCTGCATCATTTGCAAGAATCTGATGTATGAGAGTTCCAATGGCTGTGCTTTCGGGTACCGACTTGATGATAGTTGTTGGTGTAAATACTGGATTATGCTCATTCACATTAGTGACTGTTATTGACACAATTGTGGTGGCAGACTTGGATTGTGCATCACCGGCTCTGTCGACTGCCTTTACTGTTAATGAGTGGGACACAGCTGTCTCAAAGTCCAACAGTTTGGCTGTTTTGATCTCTCCATTGCTGGCATCGATTGTGAAGTCACTGTTTGTATTACCACCTGTAACAAATGGAGTGGTGTGTTCAGACAATGTTTCCAATAGAATATCAGCATGAGACACACTTAGTATTACTTTTGCTCACACTTCACATACCGATGATTGAGTATGTTATTTGTCCATTTCCTCCTGTTGCAGGGTCATCTATGTCAGTTGCAGCAACGGTGACCACCACACTAGCTCCAACAGCATCCGTCTCAGACACACTGCCACTATTGAGAAGAAAGATAAAATGTATCTAGATATCATTGTAAATGTATTGAATTCCATCCATTCATCCAAAAAATACGCTATTGTATCAGATAATAGTTTTGCTAGAGTTCAACCTGAAGTTGTGTCATTGACATGGCATCTACTAGGTGCTATTCGTGTATAATGAAGAGGAAGATAGGTGTTGCAGTACCTGTAGGACCCAGAGCCAAACACAGGAGTGTTGTCATTTTCATCAGTGACAGTCAAACTGACAGTGGCTGTTACTGTCGTAGTTCCGTCTGTTGCTGAAACTAGAAGGTCGTGAGTCGCATCCGTCTCTCTGTCCAATGATGACACTAGCGTGATAAAGCCTGAAGTTGAGTCTAATGCAAACAAAGGGTAGGATGCTACAAAGGCAAATGTGATTTGTCCATCTGCTGTGGCAGCTGAGTCTGCATCTGTTGCTGTAACTTGTGCTATTGTGGAGGCCAGTAACAGATTCTCACTGTGAAAAACTGGATATATCACTGAAAGTAAAATAAACAAAATATGTTGTGAAATGTGGAAAAGGCTGAAACAGAATGCTGAATCATGCCAGATACTATTCCATGAGTATGTTTCTTTCAATTCGCTCGTATCTCTGTACCGTGAAAGACCCCGAGTATAGCTACACAAAGGGATGTATCATTGCACAACGTCCATCCTTTACAGTCATTATAAATATTATAGACACTTTATAATTTGGAGATTGTGGGTTCGAATCCCAGTTCTCCCCAATTATGTTTCTAGGTTTGTCAGCATAATACGCGTGCTCGTGGGTTTCACCGAAGGGTAAACGTCTGAGACCTGCACCTCTTCGGGCTTTCCTCCCACATTTAGCTGACACGCCGTGATATAACTGGAATAATCTTAAAAGTGGCTTAAGCCCAACTTACTCACTCACTCACTACAATTTGGAGATACGACTTTGTCTTTGAAGTATTGTACTATTTATGTGTCATCAGGAGGAGTAAATTGTGATAATTACATTTTGTTTTAAGGATCCACTTACATGAAATTCAATGGTATATTTGAGATTTCTTACCTGGTGAAAATACTGGCGGAGCTTCATTAACGTTTCCAACGTGTATTGTTCCAGGGATGGATACACTATTTGCAGAGTCGGATACTGTCACAATAACATTATATGTTGTCACCCCAGCATCATAGTCAAGTGGTAACTTTAACTGAAGAATATTTGAACTCATTTCAAACTTGGTCGTATCTCCAGTTGACAAAGTGTATGATACAGTTCCAGTGGTGTCATCATCAGTACAAGTGAATGTGTTGACACCAAATCCAGCACTCTCAGCTTCACTGACTGTCACAACAAAAGAATTCTGAGAGCAGGATGGTGTATTGTCGTTGACGTCTGTGATTGTTACAGTAAGCGTAACTGTGGCAGTTCCAGTGTCTCCACTTTCCTTGGCTTTGATGACAAGATCATACGAGGCTTTTGTTTCTCTGTCCAGGTTAGCAACAGTTGTCACTCGTCCTGTACTTGAATCTATGGTAAACTGATTATTGAGGTCACCACCCTGAATAGAATAAACAGGGCTTCCAAAAACGTTATTTCCATCAGGGTCTGTGGCTACAACGTCAGCAACAGAGATCCCAATGGTGCTGTCTTCAGGAACGGTGGAGGAAAATGTTCCAGAAAATGTAGGTGGGCCATCGTTAACATTGATGACGTTTATGTTAACTGTGACTGTTGTTGATTGTACAGGGCTGCCGGCATCAGAGACAGTGATTGTCAAAGTATGACCAGTGTTTGCCTTGTAATCGACAGCATCTGAAGTAAACATTATGAACCCTCAGATGACCTATGATAATTTAGGTAATATATAACAGCATACATACAGGTGGTGGCATCCGTTGGGATACAACAGCTCACTGTTGTGTCCAAAAGGTGGATCTTAATCAAGGATTAATTAATACTGGTACAATTACTTACACCATCATAGAGAAGCTCTTAACAGCTCTGGTCTCTTTGGCGTTTGGCTTTCCTTTTTGCTGAAACCTGGTTAATTTTTTATGACTATGGAGGGGGTTTTGTCACTTAAATTTATTGCACATTATGATGGCATGCCAGCTTATGACTGAAATACCGTACAAAGCTGTATTTAAACTAACACTCACTGACCTATTAATATGTGTTATCAGGCTTCACTTACTTTCTATTGTTACAACTCCTGCTGTTACTCCAAAGTGGGACCCTGGACTCTGCACAAGAGTGTAGGTCAGTGATGTCCCATCTTCAACATCTGAGCATCCCAAACTTGCAATAAGTGTTGTGGGGAATGTAGCTGAAATTGCAGAATTCAGAAACAATCAATTATTGTGGGCATGGATTATACAGTCTGAGGAATACATATGATCATCTTCTTCGAAAGGAATTTCTGGAAGGTAAAATGGACATCAACTGACGTTTTGGTGTGCCGGCACCTTTAAAAAGCATGCTCTTACCGACATTCTCTGCCACATTCTGTGACCAGCTGGATTGAGAGCAGGAGGGAATGTTGTCGTTGGTGTCTGTCACACTAACTGTTACTGTGCCAGTGCCCTACGAGAAAGGTAATAGTGGCAAGTGAATACGTATCTTGCAAATGGACAGATAAACATTTTATAAAAACGGTCAGATGTTATGGGATCTACGTGTGCATCCTACATGATACTTGCCTGAAGTCCACCTCCATCTGTAGCTGTGAGGGTGAGGAGATAGAACTTGGTGCCAGCAGGGAGGGAGTCATAGTCCACGCTGGAGGCCAGGGTGATGACGGCAGAAGACTGGTCTATGCTGAACAGGGACAGTCCTCCTTGAGTCACTGAATATATTTAAGAGAAAAGATGTCATCATACACATCTTGTGGTTTTCCTCCAGTAACCTATTTGGTCGCTGTTCATGTAAAGGTAAATAAAACTAAATTGTATAACTGTAACAACGACATGTGAATCACTAACCCTACATACAGTTTAAATGGAAGTAAGTGTATGGACAGACTCTGTGTCAAACCAATGGTCTCATGACAGATTTTGTTTGTCCAGACAAGTCAATATTGGAAGCAATTACAAGCACTAACAATGAAAAGTTATACACATTTCTACTGACACAAACATGACAAATATACACCTAAACTCACATATACGCCAATAACCATTTGTGATTGTATGGCAAAATATCACTGGACATACAGTGGATTGAGCTGCTCACCTGTGCTGATAGCATACGTTGTGACAGCATGGGGTGCGTAGTCGGAATCTGCAGCAGTGTAGGTGTGGACTGTAGTTCCAGGAGGGTCACTCTCAGATACAGACACTGCAGGGAAAGGCGTTGCAAAAGTTGGCGTGGCTTCATTTACAGCTCCCACATCTACGTAAACAGTGACAGCCCTGGTGTTGGTCACATCACTGACTCGGATCTGTAGGGTGTATGACGTAGTGGCGGAATCGTAGTCCACAGCTGGAAAACATGCCACAATGTACACCGACAGACAGTACAGTATTATTTTATAAACAGAAAGACCACAATGCCACATTTCCTAAAACAAATCCAGCTGAATGTATTTGTAATTACATTTACTCCTCTTTTACTTTTAAATCTACAAGGCCTCCTCGAAGGTTATCAGTTGAATAAGGAGAATAACAACTTACTTGCTGCCAACGTTAAAGCACCACTGCCTGCGTCCAGTGTAAATTTTCCATCAGTGTTCCCTGATATGATCACATAGGACAGGACGTCACTTGTGTCGGCATCAGTGCAAGCCAGTGTGGATACCTAAAAAACACCAAGGTGGACGCATAACAAACATATCAAACTACACTGAGAATCACACATTGCTACAAAATGTACCCGGAATTATTTCCGTTCCTGTGTATGTTACGGTTTATGCATTGCATGACTTGTCAAGTCAAAGATACATTGTCCAGTTTACAGAGGTGTGGATGTCCCTGTACATGAAGTTGACATGTCTCTTCCAACCCAACCCAACCCAGTCTTTGCACTGGTACAATAATAAGCATCCATGTATAATGAGTTAAGGTGAAATTGGTATTGATACTGATCACTGGGTTGTCTGATCTGTCGTTTGGCAGGTGTATTTCTGGGCACCAAAGAAAAAGGTTACTTTGTGTGACAATTCTCTGAGTGGCGGGTGCTACCGGTAGAGCAGGCCATGTTTATCCTTATCTCTAACACCTGGTGTCATCACTGACTTTTTGTGGCTCATTCATATTATTTTTATGATTATTTTGCCTTTTAAGCGTAATATGTTACGGCAGACAATCGAAACTGATTATTCTTTGGCGTTGAATATGACGTCGCGTTCAAGATATGTTCGCTTATAGCGACGAGAAATTATGCGTGTGGCTGCTTGACAGAACCTTCATGTATGTCAGTTCCATGTTCAAGGATTTTCGATTTTGTTGGGACCAAGTTTCTTTTCTATTGACTGATATATCAGTATGACTACCACTTAATAAAGACTTGTCGCACATGATGCACGTGTAAGTCTACAATAACACAGAGATAAAAAACATACACACCGCATCATTGACAATACTGCACTCAAGCACTGTCACGTACACGGCGTATGAAGGACAAGATGGCAAGTTGTCGTTGATGTTTGTGACTGAGACTGTTACTATTGTTGTGGTTGATCTCACTGTCCCTCCACCATCACTTGCAGTCACTTCCAGAGTGTAGGAAGGGGTCGTCTCGAAATCCAAAGATTTCTGCAGCTTGATGATACCATATGTTGGATCGATGCTGAAGTCAGTATTGGTATTGCCATCTGCAATACATGTGATTTCAAATATGTAAAGCATGTAATACGTCACAGGTATCCAATGATTATGTGTTATCAATGTGAACGATATGGTCATGCAATGCTATGTTTATTTCAGACAGTGTTGCAGTGTTGTTTTCCTTACTTGTAATAGAATATGTGATCTGCCCATCACTGCCAGCATCGAGATCTGTGGCAGCCACAGTTTCAATTACTGTTCCCACTGCAGTATTCTCTGCAAACTAAAACAACAGGGATCAATCAAAGAAGGTAGCAATAAAGGTGGGCAACTGAGGATACTATTAATGATGGTGTGATGATAAACTGTTGGATCACATTAAGTGAAAATAACACTACATACCGGGACAGTTGAAGGGAAACCAGCAGCAAATGCAGGATCGTGGTCATTAACTGCCATAATTGATACCGTAACAGAGGTCGTTCCAGTCAGTTCTGGAGTTCCACCATCTGTCACGATGATCCTGAGGACATAGTAGTCAGGGTCATTGTCCGGACTATCAAGGTTTATTGCAGTCTTCAGTTCAAGACCAGATGCACCAAACTGGAATCTAGTCGAGTCTCCAACCTCTATTGCATATGCCAAGGTAGACGTTGCATCAGCATCTGTTGCGGCTACTGCTACTACAGTTGCTCCTGCTGTCGTTGTTGCAGTTTCCGGAGGGGAGTTGGAATATGGCGCTGATGTAAAGACAGGTGCATTGTCGTTGTAATCTTCTACAGCGATAGTGAATGTTCGATCTATTGTCTTGGCAGGTGTTCCCCCATCAGATGCTCGCACTGTTACATCATAGGATGCAACTGATTCACGGTCGAGAGACGCCATTGTTGAGATTTTACCAGACACGGAATCCAAATGGAAAAACCCACTTACTGTGCCAACACCAGCTGAAGATTAACACAGAATATTTTTATGTCATAAGAATAATACTCTCCATAATGTCCGTATACAGGAACACATGAATATAACGCAAACAGAATGCATACTACTAAAATGAAGTTACTGAACACCCAATGGAGATGACAGATTAACTACAGTCATATGAAAAAAGGGTCTTCTTTAACGTCTGTGAAAGTTTATTAAAATATGCAAGGGTGGTGCGGTAATATAAAGACGAAATGGCACATGTATCATGCGCCTCACTCCAAGGAATATATTTAGGAAATAAATATCTGTGCGGTTGCGGAAGTGCTGAATCATTGGATGTCATTCCTATTCAATGACTTCTGTGAGAATATACCCTGTCAAAATATAAACCTCAGTTGATGTATGGAAATTAGGAAAGGATATGGGACTCAATCAAATAGCATCCTCACCCCCAGTCGTAGTCACCAGAGTGTATGTGATTGTCCCATCACTCCCAGCATCTGAATCTGTTGCTGCTAAGGTAACAACAGATGTACCAATGTTGGCATTCTCTGACACTGGGTAGGGGGTTCCAGTTGCGAACCCAGGCACAAACGTTCCCCATGCAGGTGTGCCTTCATTCTCTGGTTGCACCTGTTGAATTAGAACCAACAGTTTTATATTACAGGATACATATTAGAGCAACTGTCATGATGGTTTTGTACATCACCCAATTCGATGTATGTTTTAGCTCGGATTATGCCAAGTGATAAGATATTTGTACAAAACCGCATATTTCTTTTATTTAAGACTATGGGTCTGAATTTCTTTTTAAACACAACCTGCAACTCTGTAATGTTTGTGGCTGGCAATTTCTTTCCTATCAAAGGTCTGAAGCAAAGATCAAATAATGTGTTTAAATAATGTTCAAATAATGAATGCATAAGAAGTCATGTTTAGAAGCTACCATACTGTCATAAATCAGGACTTTAGTTGTTATCTATTCAACCAAAATTGTTCAAGGAAGATAGTTTCGCCACTATATCAATAAAGATCTTTTCGTATTTGTTTATGCACTTTTCACATTCACACATTTCCATTTAATATTTCTTACAGAAACAACAACAGTGGCTGTGGCTACATTAGGAGTTGTTCCGCCATCTGCAATGTTGACAACAAGGGTGTATGACGTCGTCGTTTCGTAGTCTGTTGCTGTTCCTGTTGTCAGAATGTTGAGGGCAGCAACCTTAAACTTAGCCGTGGCATCGTCTCCACTGGCAATGGTTACGGTCATATCACTGTTCGGGGAGGCATCGGCGTCGGCACACGTTAAAGCAACAACCGTGGCGTCTGTCACAACAGATAACTCCGAATGTGAATGCATTCAATATGTCAAACCAACACCTTCACTGATAATTAATGTATGGAATACATGTACAATGTTTATTCGTTTAATGTGAAACGTAAGGATTAAAGTCGTTCTTCCAGAATGGTGCCAATAATGCAGAATCGATCAGGGGCGTATGTACACGAGCTGAGCTTTTTATTTTTGGCGAAACACTTTGCTTCGCGATGGCCTTAAAATTCACAGTCACAGTCTCATAGTCCTGCAACGGTCACTGATGTAACTTCAGGACATCGATAAATAACTTGACATACACAACAGTCCTCATTAATGGATGACAAGCATCAATCATAGCATCTCTAAACCTGGGGTAAAACCAGAATCGAAGTAATCAAGACAATCCCATCTATCATATAGATGTACCTTCCTTTTGTACATTTCACCGTTGTCTTAACCATTGCTATCACGTATCAGTGCTATTTACACTCTGAAACGTTGTGTTACTCATCATTTAGAAGTTGACATCAATAAATTCTCTTCCTGTCTTACCATGATGTCAGATGACCGAACGATTCCATCGGCACAATATCAATGAATTGTTTCATGATTCTGTATATTCTGCATTTTGTAGTAGACACTGGAGTGATGTCGGAAACGTGGGTCACTTACCGACAGGAGAGTTCTCTGTGACATCGGCAAAGAAGGCGGACTGTGTGCATGTGGGCGTATTGTCGTTGATGTCATTCAGCGTCACTGTCAGTGTCCCGGTAGTTGACTGACCAGCACTGTCGGTCACCGTCAAGGTCAACTGGTCAAAAACTGTGATTGCGCCGGAGGCATCCCTGTCCAATTTCTGCGCAGTTTTTATGGCACCAGAGCTGCTTTCGATGGTGAAGTAGGTCGCATGGATTTCTACAAAATTCCGTGTGCCCAACACAGTTCGTTCAGCATGAGTTATACGTGCATGTATGTAAACAAATCATCAAGGGATTAATTCTTGTAAACAATGAAATAGGAATATCAAAAATGTGTTTCATATACTTATGTAAATTGTACTGATTGTATAACATATCACTTATGATTTATGACCCATGAAGATCCGGGTTATAAGTGATCTTCAGTGACCTATGCTAAAAGGCGACTAATTATAACGGGTTTCTGTGGTCAGGCTCGCTGACTTGGTTTGATGCATGTCATCGTATCGCAGTTGCCTGGATCCATACTCATGGTGTTAGTCAGTGGATTGCCTGGTCGAGTCCAGATCATTGACAGACCGCCGCCATATAGCTTGAATACAGTTGATGTTATTGATCTTTTATTGTTTGTTGTCAGTCTGTAAATAATCTAGACAAGTAAATATTATCCAGTTATTGATATAATGAGCAGGATCCACGTCTTCGGTGCACGTTGACACGCCGTCAGCCAAGTCCCCGAACCTGACCACCCGAAACAGTCAAGCAGAGGAATTCCCACTGGGCCTTCTATCTTTTAGACCATGCATTCATACAACATTAGTTGTTTCATACGTACTTGAAGGATTTAACCGAAAATTGATACTGTTGCATAAGCGTGAGAATGCCATGATATACACGTATAAATATTACAAAAAACATAACATTATGGTTGAAATATGTTGCCATTGATCAAAAGCTAGGGATGTGTGAGTTTAGTTTGTAAGGGCGTTCGCAATATCCCAGCCCATCGCAACGGGGGACACCGTGTGCTAACCAAGCTTTGGTCAGTGGCGTGACAAGCTAACGCTTTACCAACCAGACTACCCCACCACCTCAGAAGCCAGGGGGACAATATTGACCTGTGAGTTGGTACGACAGCGTGTCTCCCACGTCAACATCAGTGACTGTATAGGTGAAGGGCACGACAGTTCCCACGGCCTGCTCCTCGTCTATGGTGATGGTCTGGGCTCCGCTGATCACTGGAAGGTTGTCGTTGAGGTCGGTAATGTCAACGTTCAGAGATGCTGTTGTTGTACTTGTACCATCACTTACCCTGAAGCACGGAAGTCTTTAAATGGATGCGACTTACCAAGGGTAAAACATATACATTCACATAACTGAGCTAAGGGTGTTCTATCATGCAGTCAGCAAGATCATTATTGTACCACAACACGGACAGATGAAGGCCAGGGTCTATTGCCTGTTCTAACATGTTGAATTGAAGTCGCTCAGTATACTGCATTAATGATGAAGTGTTGGAGTACGATACAACGCCGCATCATTCAAATCATTCCAGGGGAGGGGGAGGGGGGACGTATGGGCTCCACGCATTGCACCCGTGGGGTAATCGGCGTGGCCAGTGTACGTTTTACCAACTAGATTATCCCATCGCTTCATTATAAAAAAGTGGCTGTGTGGTAGCCTAGTGGTTACACCGTTCGCTCGTCACGTCGAAGTCCCGGGTTCCATTCCCTACTTGGTTGCAATGTGTGAAACCAATTTATGTTGTAAAAGCAGTGTAAAACCATACTCACTCATTACGCATGCATTATACAAAAGGGGGGCGGTCGTGTAGCCTAGTGATTAAAGCGTTCGCTCGTCACGCCGAAAACCCGGGTTCGAATCTCGATATGGGTACAATGCGTGGCGCCCATTTCTGGTGGCCCCCGCCGTGATATTGCTGGAATATTGCTAAAGGCGGCGTAAAATCAAACTCACTCACACTCACACTCATTATACAAAAGGGGTTCTAGTGGTCAAAGTCAACCCTCATCATGTAGCAACAACATTTGATTTTGATTTTAGAGTAAACTGCAACGCTCCCGGGAGCGCAGTCCTCCTGGACCTGACATATCGGTGGTCGATATAGCGAACAACGATAATTCCCACTCTTGAGTAATGAAGTCTTTGACTGACATTTTGAAGTTCGAAGAACATGAAGACATGACATTTGTGGTCAACAACTTCTTTATTGTTTGTATCGACGTTTCGGAGTTACTTTTCCCCCCTTTACCCGATGAAGGGACAGGAAGTAGTCCCGAAACGCCGTTACAAACCACATAGATTTTGTTATCCATGAAATATTTCGCGTCTTTACGGAGTAATAACGCATGATCCGGTAGATGACAACTAATGTTCACTGATGGGCACACCTGCAAGTATTTTCAGCTAGAGTGTATCAACTGTACAATCTTGAAAGAACATCTATATTAGTTGTATAATATGCAAAGACATATTTGCTTGTAAAACACTTCTAAACGTACGTCACAGTCAGTAAGTAATTCGTTGTGGTTTCGTAATCCAATGTCCCGCCCACTTGTAGCTGCTGACCAACCAGCGTAAAGGGCACAGATGTTGCAGTCAGTGCAAAGATCATGGTGTCCCCGTCCGGGTCAGTTGCCAGAATACCGAATACTGAAGTTCCAGTTCCGGTGTTTTCAGCCATACTGACGCGCGTACTGCCATCAGTCGCTATATTGTCAAATGCTGGAGCAGCACCTGAATTGGAAAAAAAAAGCTGTATTTAGCTGTTATATTTCATAAACATGAACTGAAACCACGATGATAATTACCACATTCTCGCCTTAAAACATCTGCACCACCGAAACCCAACAAAGACACACACGAATCACATGGTTCCAAAATTGAATTTGGGCTCAAGTGATTAAGCTTACATTCCTTCTTAAGTGTAGAACACTGTATGTTAAATAGTAGCAGTGGTAGTGGTAGGAGTGGGTGAATGTTGTTGAACGCCGCAGTCAGTATTCCAGATATATCATAGCGGCCTGTAAGTAATTAAGACTTCACCAGGCCAGCCAGTGAATGAAATCATGAGCAATGATCATGCCTATTAAATTACGCCAGTGTGCACTCAACCAAGTCGCAGAGCCTGTTTGCCTCACCTCCATTATAGTTGGCTCTGATGATAACCATCAGGTACTAGGGCCCTCTACTAGTTTCTCACCCATGTTTCCAAACTGTGAGTAGTAGTAGAAGTAGTAGTAGTAGTAGTAGTAGTAGTAGTAGTAGAAGTTTGTTTGTTTGTTTAACGCCGCACTCAGAAATATGCCAGCCATATGACGGCGGTCTGTCAAGAATCGAATCCGGACCAGACAATCGAGTAACTGACATCAGGAGCATCGACCCAAGCAATTGGGTTACGATGACATGCACCAGCCAAGTCAGCGAGCCTGACCACACAATTCCGTTAGTCGCTTCTTACAAGCATGGGTTGCTGAAGACCATTTCTAATTCGGAATCTTCACAGTATTATTAGTAGTAATAGTAATAGTATGGTTTAACGCCGCTTTTAGCAATATTCCAGCAATATCAAGGCGGGGACACCAGAAATGGGCTTCACACATTGTACCCATGTCGGGAATCGAACCCGGGTCTTCTGCATGACGAGCGAACGCTTTAACCACTGGGCTACCCGACCGCCCATATTAGTTGTAGTGGTGGTAGTAGTAGTAGTAGTCGTAGTAGTAGTAAGTGAAACACGGGTATGTTGGTGACAAATCTAGAAACATAATCTTGGATTCGAACCCAGGATGATAGGTTCTTGCAAGACCAAGGGTCGCAGGTCCGTACAGAGAGTCTTCTTAGACGATTGGACCACCCATATGCCAGTGGCAGCAGTTCCAGCAGTACTTATAGTAGTACTAATGGTACTGTACGATGTATGTCATGGTACATGTGCAATATGACATACGTAACAGCGTGTAATGTAACCATGACATCCAGTAATCCCCTACAAGAGCGACATATGCAGCAGGATGCAGAGTATCATGAACTAGTCTTTACAATGCAATAGAGTCAGGATACAAATGAATGTGACACATACACTGCATTCTCAAGCGTATAGCCCCGTCAGGGCCATGTGAGTACAGGCCCTATCTGCAGTGAGAGATTAATCCAGGACAGACATGCGTGTACCTCGGCTTCTCGGCTAGATTACCTTACGCTGTATGCTCCGCCACATCACCGCACATTCGCACCCTACTGTGCTATTGTGCTGTTGTATTGTAAAAGCTTCCGTTGACGGGTGATTTGCATCTTGAAATGAGTCAAGGAAGCGGACAAACGTACGGAAGCCCATTTATAACATAAAATTAGTTATTTTAGCTTGAAAGTTATTATCCTGAAATTTTAAATTCTAATCTGGCACCAGTGTCAGCTCGAAATTGAAAGTGAAGCCTTGCTGATTCAGTTTCTCTTGAATTTTCAACATAATATCCTGAATTTTTAATTTAATAACCTGAATTTTCAAGGTAGTACAAGATAATTTTCAACCTAATAACTTGAATGATCAAGATAGAATGATACTAGATAGTTTTCAGGATAATTGTCAATAATAACTTGAATTTTCGCGGTAATAACGTAACTTTTCAACATAAAAACTAGTTTCTTGTATTTTAACAAAGGAGCTTGAATTTATAATGAGAAAATGGCATGGCCATACGGGTTTCCGTACAGACGGGCTCTGAATAGCTGCAATTACACATTGAAGGGACATGAGATTTTTTAGATAGAGAATTGTTTAAAAGTGAACAGTTCTTCAAGACGTTAGAAAGCGGTTTCGATTTAAACAATACTTTGAGGTGACCAACGTTCGATACTAACACTATTTCGAAATGTTAGTATTCGATAGAAACAAGTTTCTAAATTACCGAACCGGTATTCATTCTTATGACATATAATTGTTTGTACTACAATATTTATTATTTGGAGATAACGGGTTTTGAAATAAACAATGCATCCAAGTGGAACGATTAGATGTAAACGATATTTCGAGATGATAGGTATCGATGTAAACCAGATTCGATGCCTTCTATACATCTACCAAAATTTCGGTTTCGATATGACCAAGAGGTCAGTGTAAACTATTCACCAAGAACCCGGCTTTGATATAGACTATGCTTTGAGATAACAGGATCAGATATAAAATCGAGACAAACAATATTTCCTCATACGTGGCATGGCATGATAAACTGTTTCGGACATATTTTTTAAAGTGACGATGAACTGTTTCATGTCAGGCCTAACCACTAGTTATTAGCGAACAATTATTCTCACAAAAACTTCAAATATGGAGGATACGATCTTGGCATACACTACCTACAATTACATTTACTGTAATCAAAGTACATAGGAACTCAGACTAACTACTGAATTGGCCTAACCATAGCAACTGAATTAACTAAAGACCTCATTATAATGTATTCCATGTCAACATTTTATTATATATTACAAACAAAAATAGTTTTCTAGTTTTATTGCTCCACAGCAATATGTAAAAGAATTATATGCTAATACACAGTGTTGCCACTGAAAATATATTAAATATGAAGCATGACCTGGGTCCCATACAGTATTGAAATTAATATCAAACAACCGTCAAGTACAAAGACTTAATTTGTCTCCACGCCTTTAACGGAATGTTTATGGTGTCTAATTATACCAGACTGCACAAAAACCTCCCCGATATGACGCCGTCACGCACAAAGTCTTTGTTATCCACCACGCATCGGAACAAAGTCTCACTGAAAGGGTGGAAAAACCTAGGCCATTGTGACTACCTACATACCCTTCCTCCTGATTATGCACGTAGCTAGGACAGGATGTATCAGACACAACCTAGCAACACTGAAGTGAGTGGAGACACTGATAGACATTTAAGCTGGGGGAACAGCAGGCAACACAGAACAGACTACTTGAACGTCAACGCTGAGCGACGTCAGTTCACGTTCAAGGTCATATGCCTGTCCTGTTTGGTGGAGACGTATAGCTAAATGGATACGCTGGAGGATCAGGCTGTAATTCATAGAGATAAAGCGGGTGTAAAAGTCAGCACAGGGTGGTTATAGGGTAACGTCGATAGATCACATGGACAGAGACTTGTGACAGTGTAGGTTACTGAACTGTTTGAGTTGACTGATCTCAAGGATTCGGACTCTTACCCGGTCATAAATACTTCATCTTTCTATATCATTGCCATCGGGGGACGTATGTGAAGGTCAAAGTCGAACACATATATTGTTCGTCGTTTTAAAATACATACTATTTCTTGGTTATATACGTTTAGTTAAAAATTGAAATATCTCACTAAAGTACTTGATGCTACTTCGTCATATCTGTGTAATAGCATCGTTTCGTTACACACAAAACATTTTTTATTCAGAAGTTCGAAAACACAAGAACTCGCAAAAACATTCCACTTCAGCAAAAGGAGAGCAAAATATATGTTACAGTGAGTGAGTTAAGTTGGGGGCCGCTTTGAACAGTGCGAAAACCTACTGGGGTCAAAATTGAAATAAGAAAAAGACACGAAAGGAAATTTGTTATTAATAGATTCGTTCTAACGGACAAAAAAGATTCGTTATTACGGAAATAATTTCGTTATAACGGAAATATTTACATCATTACGGAATACGGAAAAAGATTCGTTATAATGAAATTATTACCGTAATAACGAATCTCTTCCCGTTATAACGAATATATTTTCGTATTAACGATTTTTTTCACGATATAACGAAATTATTTCCGTGTCTTTTCCATATTTCAATTTTAACCCCAATAGGCTTTCGTAGAACAGCATTCTAGTCATATCACAGCGTGTCAGAATAATGTGGGAGGAAAGCCCGAAGTGATGCATGAAGTTTGATAAAATGTAAAACGTAACTTTTAAACTTTCTAGGCTTAATTAAATGAACAGTTAACTCGAAATGTCGATTAAAACCAATTAAAGTAATTGTATTGAACCTATAGAACATCTATTAAGAACTTTGATCTGATATCGTCACTCCGCATGCTTCAAGCTCCTGACCTTAATGTATTTTCAACGGTTCGGGCATTGTATGTTGACTGTAGCGGACACGTTGAATATCATGGTACGTAATCTCCGCTTGCATACAAAATCATGAACATGGGGTGAGAAAGTAGAGCCAAAACGATAATATTTTTAACTAAGTATATTGAGTTTGTAAAAAGAAAATGACATGACCATACGTGTTTCTGTACAAACGTGTACTGAATGGGTGCAATCACACATTGAAGTGACATGGGATTTTTGAGATATAGAATTGTTCCTACATTCGATTTAAACAATATTTGGATGTTAACAGCGTTCGATACTAACACTATTTCGAAATGTTAGTATTCGACTGAAACACGTTTCAATCGTATGACATATAACTGTTTAATCTGCAATATATTAAATTCGGTTTTAAAATAAAAAAATCTGATCTGATATCGTCACTCCGCTTGCTTCGAACTCAGGGTCTTAATGTATTTTCAATGGTACGGGAATTGTGTGTTGACTGTAGCGGACACGCGGAATATCATGGTACGTAATCTCCGCATTGCATACAAAATCATGAACATGGGGTGAGAAATTAGAGCCAAAACGATATTATTTGCACGCCCTACGGGTTCCCTAAGTACTACCGAGAGGACATCCATCAAACACCCCCCCCACAGGGTTTAACGTACGTGTATACAACTTGAACATGCAACACTGGCCAATTATAATAGCTTTAATCTGAAGGGACCACCATCTGTGATATGAGACGAAGTGACAAAAACTGTGGAATGTACATTGCCGTACTTTAATGATAAGCAAACGATAGCGGTTAACGCTGCACTGAACATTTCAAAACGTGATCACCTAATGTGTAGAGTTGGGGAGGGACTGTGGGGGATTAACATATTCCTCAGTTAGTGTCTGAGCTACGTCAGGCAACATTAGGATCAGGTTGCAATTGGTAACCTTTACACTCGTACAGAGGTACGTGTGAGGAACGGACTCTCCGACCGTGCATGCTTGGGATCAAAGGGCTGTGTCATTATTGTTTGCATGAAGCGACATGATGAAACATATAGTATATTACATAAATAATTATAATATATTAAAATATTAAAATTGAAGCTTGTACATTTACGGGAAAATGAAAGTATACAATTAAAAAATGGATTTGACCAAACAATTACAAACCCCATCAAAGCGTTAATACGTTGAAAACAGACGTCGAAACGCTGCAAACGTTAATTCCAAAACACAACTTTGATACCGGTATGACATGCATCACAGTCGAATAACTTTTTCTTGTTTGTTTCATTGTTAGCTACCCTTAAACATGGGTGTGTACTTTCGTTAGCCCAGTAGTTTATTAACATAGCATTACCACTGTACGAAATATAACTTAAAGATTAAAATGGAAAGTGTCTTGAACCCTCACGCACATAAAGTCTGAACTTTCGTATAAATATGTTGTTTATAGGTAAGCCATTGTGACATTTTAACTGGTTCTCAATAATGAATATGCTCATAAACATCATATCTCTGTCGACAGCCTAATCTATGACCTTGTTTGGTTGTTATTGCGATAATTAACCCAAGTCACGATTCAACAATAATATCAACTATTGTCACACCTACCTGCAACATATGTGTATGTAAGTTGGCACAGCAACAGTAACAACACCGACATCACCGTCCCAGACCCTCCACCCTCGGGGTCTGTCATGTTGAGAAAACACAGCGGTATCCTGAAACACACGAACTTAGGTGACACACTGAACTATATATATATCCATTACACGTGGGCTGTCTTATGAACGCCTCTCCTCGGAGACATCAAAGTAAAGGTTTACCCAATGTCAAAGTATCTTGTTAGCTCCGTGTTATAACATCTTGCTTATTCACAAAAGTAAAATATGAGTTTTTCAAACGCCGAAGCTGAAATGTTTGCTGCTAACTTAAGCGCTACAACAAACATCTCCTATGTTGGCGGTACATTGAAAGGGGTGGATGGTATTTACCTAGTCTACGTGAACAGGATTCTCTGTGTATTATAGACTTAGGGTCTTAGAAAAGAAGATCTTCCTCTGTGAGTTTAATCTGTACGTCCGAAAGCTAACAGCTTCCATGCCATGTGCTGTTGTGGCGTCGCTGTAAATGAGGCGGGTGTATAAGGCGGGTAAATCCAGGGTAGCTTTCAGCGCCGCTGCGAGAGTGATTGAACACAATTGATCAGACTGTCGCAACTGCTGGCTCGCCCTGCGTTGGTTGATCTTTTTAGAACTCCTTCATAGGAGCCTATTTACCTGTATGAGAGGAAACGTTGACGGACACAAATCTTCAGTTTTTGTCAAAGGTCTCCACTACGGAATAGTGAGTGAGTTGGGTTATCGCGATTTTCAAGGCGTAGAGTATTGCAAAACCACGTGTCACGGACGAAAGCACCTTATAACCCAGGCGGTAACACTTCGTTGCATGTATTTGTTGTTTAACGCAGCGCTCAGAAATATTCCCGCTCAATGACGGCCAATTGTAAATAATTGAATCTGGGACAGGCAAACCAGTGATTGACATCAAGAGCATAGATCCACGCAATTGGGATACGATGACATGTAATCAACCAAGTCATCGCGCTTGACCATCCGATCCATTTAGTCTCCTTTTACAACAGGAAGTGAAACCCACGAGTACGGCTTTGGGGCCGACAAACCAAGGATAGTTATAGGGTGAATCCGGGATTGAACCTGCAAGACAAAAGTGAGACAGTTTACACCACTGGGCCACCTCAATCTCAGGGGTCAGGGGTGTGACTGATATGAGCTGTATAGCCCTGTGTCTGAATGGGTTGGGTGATTAGACTCAATTACGTGGCATCGGCCCCCCACAGCGTTGCTCATAACATCAGTCAGTGGTTTGTCTATTTCAGACTCTATTATATACAGGCCGTCGTCATATAGCTGGGGTATTGAGTGGGATCCTAACAACAAGTAGTTTCGTCATCTATTCTCTATATATTCACGCAAAAGCACACACTCTGACTAGTGATGCAATTTTCTGTTTCCCATTCTAATACTAAGAGGGTAGCGTAGCCTCGTGGTTAAAACGTTTGCTCGTCACGCTGTAGAACCGGGTTCGATTCCCCACATGGGTACATTGTGTGAAGCCCATTTCTGGTGTTCCCACCGTGATATTACTGTAATATTGCAAAAAAAGGTCGTAAAACTATACTCGCACACTCACTGTGATTGTGATACACTGTTTTAAATGTTCTTGTACTTAAATTCTGCGATGGGAATCTATTACTGTGATAAATGTTTCACGTAATGATAATCTAATACAATTGCCACCATGAGTGAGTAAGTGAGTCTTGTTTAAAACCAATATTCTAGCAATTATATCACGGCACGGAGACCATAACTTGGCTTCACACACTATATACAATTTCGGGAATAAAACCCGTGCCTTCCGCGTGAAGGACCAACAATTAAAAAATGAGAAAAAAAGTAACATACAATTATTATAAAATAAGTGTGTGCTGTTTCAGAACACCTGCTGTGTTAATAATGTATTATAATGAAATATATAGATGTATAACAAAATCAGTGCTGAATGAATACTTTTTACTGATTGAGTGATGTGACTGGCAAGTACTTTACACATGGACAACGTTCCAACAACCAAATGATCTCATCCCAGTTACTTTGTATATCTGAGTTTGTAATAAGATCCAATTTAATGAGGTTGAACTGTTTTTAACATTGCAGGATAAAGAGAACCCACACGCTCCTGTGCCTATCGTCCCCGTCGACAGTCACACACAACGCAATAAGCATAGGATTAACCCAACTCAATGCCATGTATATCTATCCATCATTCTTTTCTCGTCGGTGGTGCTACTGTCATACAGAGCTAGATTCAATGGTTTAATCTCTCAGTAAGGTCCTTACATCCAAAGTAATGAAGTTAAATAGCGACCGCTATTCGCTTGACTCCCAAGTAATAATAAACACACAATATCCTGGGTCTTTAAAGAGTAGGCAAACATGTCCCTTCTTGGAAATAGGATTTAATGTCAAAGGGTTTATGAAATGTGTATTGCTGGTTACATGAAGGTCTATGTATATCTTGCTCCAATAAACAGTGTGAAAGCAACTCGAGTGACCCCGTCAGTCATTTGCTGGCGTGTATTAGCTGAAATAACCGTGGACACGGTTATATTAATAACGACCCTATAAAGGCAACTTAGATACGTTATATCATGTTTCAGTGGTATTTATAGTTATACAAGTACCGCGTTGATATTCATACGTGCTTTGGGTAGACGATATACAACATTGTTGTGTTTGATACCTGCTTTTAAAAGATATTATATTGCAAAATATTTCGTAATATTTCACTTTAGCGCATCATAAAACCATATAAGTCTATAGTTATTAACTATAGCTATTTATATGAATTCGTACTTTGCATATATGGTGATGTTGCAATGATATGATTGTTCTGTATCATAAATTGTGTTGGACGCGTGTTTCATCATATCAATAAGGCGTGAGACAATAGCAGCTATTGTAGAAACCTCTCTCGTTGAATCTTGCCACTTATATATTTCATGGATTTTCAATGATTATTAATAAATAAAATTTCATTCTGATAATTTTGATTACAAATACACATACTTATGTCAGTAGATCAGTGTCGTAACTGTAAACGCTATAAACCATCAAAATACTTAATATTACATAGTTGCACTGATAGTCTTCAGTTCGTACATTCTGCCAGTGCAACTCCTCCACCTACAATTTCAGATACCAAAACAAGATATTTGGTCATATTTGCCGAAATGTTTCTGAAACATGTTCCGAAGCATAAAATGGTCGAGCGACATTCGCTTTTAAACTGTGGCATATGCTTGGTGTGTGTCTCCCACGGTCTGACTCCACACTTGCAAGTGTGTGGAGAGTGGAGTCAGTCTTTCAAAACACCCCGTGTTGTAATTGCTGGGTGTGACAGTTGTCAGCGTTCACAGACAATGGTAGTGGGGTAAATAGGGTTGTAAACAGTGACAGACACTTTTAAGTTACCGCCAACATAAATCTACACGCACGTTTCCAGGACACACTGGGGTAATTGGTTTTCGTTATAAATCATTAAGGCAGGGTCTCCGTTTTATGTATGTGAGAATTTGTGCCTCCTCCCACTCTCTCCGTACCGCCATCCATTTTTATCCTTTTGTTCCTTCCGGTACACCTTCCGTCTCTCCTTTCATCCTTTGTTATGCCGCCTCCGTGGTCTTGTGGTAGAGCGTCCGCCCGGAGAGCGGAAGGTCCGGGTTCGATCCCCGGCCGCGTCATACCAAAAGACGTTAAAAGATGGTACTTGTTGTTACCCTGTCTGGCGCTCGACATTAAGGGGCTAAAACAAGGACTGGTCGGCTCGGAGTCAGTATACTGTGTCTGAGTAGGGTATTCATGTTAAACTGCGGCATGGTATCTCAGTGGGCTAGCACTATAAATCGGCATCAGTCTGGACTAGTACAAGCAGCCACACACACACACACGTGCATGCACGTCGCTATATAAGTGCAATAATCTTGGACGCGACGTTAAACCCAATTTCACCTCACCTCATCCTTTGTTAGCCTATCTCTCATCTCGCCACTTTTCCTCATCCATCCCAAACTCACTGTCTCTTTGCCTTCCTTCATCCTATATTTTCTCCACAAGTCATCCCTTACTGTCTTCCTCCCTTCCCGTGACTCACTCTTCCCCATATTTCTTTCTCTCTCATTCACTCTGTTACTATTTTACTATTCAACCCTGTCGCACTCATCCTTTCTTCTCTGTCTCACTCGCTTTCCCCTTGAACTGTCTCTTTCTCTCTATCTCCTTTCTCATCCATTCCTCCATCCTCACTTTCCCCAGCCCCAACGTGTACTCTCTTCAATTACCTATCTACCCTTCCCTCTGTCCAGCTTCCACGCCTCCAACCCCCTCCTCTCTCTCTCCCCCACCCCCTCTCCCACTTGTCCAACTACTCTCACCACCCCCTTTTTCTCACACTGTCTAACCAGTGTACAATATTCGCACCGTGACTCAAATGTAACATGATCCTAATTCAGTTGAACATATCACTTTCTGCTTTATGTTGTTATGGGCAATACGTAAATAGGGGCCCAAACACTCCTCGATATGTTTCAATGAACGCTTAAAGGCAGCTCTCAGTGACGACCCGATGCTTGTTTATGGTAATGCGAGGATGTAGACATGTATGTACTCAAGGAGTAATAGCCTCACAATGTACTTACAGTAGGCAGTGAGAGGTTTTATCAGATTACAGGAGCCCTTAAGTACGACCAAGGATCGGTTTCGACATAATGCACTGATCCCTGAATAGCAAATGCAGCATTAAAGGGTTGTGCTGTTTGCCTCATCATATTGTCAAGAAGGTTCTTGTGTCGCTTCACGTTAAGGCTAAGGATTACATATCTGTAGATCTCCGTGCAATTACGCTCACGGAATAAGTCAAAACACGCACAACTTGGGATGTCATTTCGAAGTATGTTTCTTCTTGTTGCGGCATAACTCTATTCTTCCTGCCAATGTTCAAAGTAAAACAGTGTACATGATTAATAATTGTTACTTTCAAGGTTGAACATTCGGAAATGAACCTTGAACATGGATGTTCTGATATTCTTATATGTATTGCAAGTTCTACCTTAAATTTTTTTTTATTCGATTCTGTTTGGTGAGTCTCATGTTTCAAATCAAAATAACAACCTCTGATTGAAAAAGGTGATTTTGCATCACGTCATGATGATCATAGAAAAGTACATTTTTCGCAATCATTATCGGTAGGCAGTTTCCCATAGTTATATGTAGAAAACTAACACATAGGTTATACAGTTGTGTTGCCAGATATAGTGAAGGTGTACGCGACAATTATTTTAAGGGATCGCTGGATATAGCGCCAAGAATGAATTGTCTTTTTCGCTTTTTTGTTTTGATAGGTGACGTCGGCTTGAAGTAGGTTACATTTTTCTTAGTCTATTAGGTGTTGAGCTATGCGCATCCCGTTGTTATATACATGTACGTGACATAGCATGGTCACCATTGACGATGTTTGTTTTCACCATTTGGAGAATATTGATGAAACAACTAAAATAAACTTTGTAGAAGATAATTACATGTTTCTGGATTCGCATCACTAATGTTGACGAAGCTTTGATAA